ATTAGTGATGGGCAAAACGATTCATTTTGATGTTTCGAATCAAATGACTCATTTCAAAGTTGAGAGTCGAAACTGGGAGCCGACTCTTCCGACTCCCAACTCCCATGGTAGATATCGAATCGCTAAGTTCGTAATTCGCATAATCACGGTGGCCCGTCTCGGAACGGACGGAAATAGCGGAATCTGGGCCGATTGACGAATTTTGTCGATCTTGAGCTTGACCGATAATTCGATTACATATTTGTTTACTGAAACGACTAAAATTGAAATTAGTTCTTCCACTGCAGTCAAGGGTTATGTACTTAGTTCTTTCACTGAAATTTGTTGTCATACAAAAATGCGAATGAATGCGACGATAAAGCATATATTCTCTTCAAACGTTTACAAATACAAACGCAAACCGTTTGCTACCGTTTTTCCCTGTAGATTGTGGCCATTGTTGCCCACACTCTTTACTCCCTATCAGTATCAAACGACTTGCAAATCACTAAATATCAGTGATCACAGGCACAGCTACACGCCGATCCAAATCGCAAAACGAATCTGACTCACATCTGACTCTCGGCCCTGGTGGTTCAGCTGTACACTATAACGGATTCGACACTCCACACGGAAGTCGGTGAATCATCGGAGTCGAGTCTTACATATTTTGGGAGTCGACTCAGATGATCTAAGCCAAGAGTCGACTCTCTGATTCGAAACATACACTCACTAGCCAACACTACTGCAGAGGTTAAATCTATATGATTTTCTGTTTATGTTTGTGACAATTAAATAACCTAGAAATTATGTCAAATATTCTAATATTATTTTGGTAACATATTTATTTTTCGTGGATAATATGATTTAAGAAAATTATTATTTATAATCAAAAAAATCAAGAAATTACAGAATGTATTTCATGAAGCCTTTTATTATTTCAAGATGTTCTGCCCTAAATTTAATCAAGAATACAAAAAAGGTAAAAAGTTGTAGATATAGGTATATATGCACTAGTTTTGTTTGCAGTAAGTTAAGAAACGAGCCTAGTTTGGTAAATGTGTTTGATCGTAATACCAAAAGCCTTCAAAGAGAAAGAGCTGCAATTGCCGACGATGTGAACTTATATGATTATTTGAAAGATGAAATAGGCTTTCGGTTAGCTGATCGCATATTTGATATAAAAAGAAAATTTAAATTAGCTGCAGATATAGGTAATTTACAAATACATGTAAACTTCTAGGAAAGTAACATTCTAATTTCAGGGTGCCATCGTGGATATGTCTCAAAACATATCTCGGCAGACTTCGTTGAGGAGTTAATTCTGTGTGATATTAGTCAAAGAAATTTAGATTCTGCCCCTGTTAATGAAGGCATAAAAGTTAGGAAACAAATTTTAGATGAAGAGCATATTGAAGTAAGAAAATAATGTTATAGATACCTATTTAGTAATATAAATAATGTCTACTGGAGTTTTAATTACCTACAATTTTGTAAGTGAAATAGACATCAATAATATTTTTTTTACTCTAAAAATGTTTATAAATTTAATATTTATTTTGTTATCTAGTACAATATATTTTATTTTAATGAAAGAAAATATGATTTTAAAAATACATTTCCTTTGATTGTGCTTAAAATTTTTTGATAAATATAAATTCTATCACATGAGAAACTAGTAGCTTTATATATTTACAATTTTCTATGCAGTCTTCCAATTTAAAAATGGAATTTGTTTCCTTTTTTCTTTGCATTTCAGCAAACAGTAGGCATCTATTACGTGATATTGTTTTATTATCAAAAAATTGCGTCATAATTTGTAGATCACTGTATATTTTCTTTATACAGGGTGTCTCATAATTAGCAGCCAACTCTGAACAGGCCGATTCTATGATCAATACTAAGTAAAAAAGTTCATATGGGTCCGGAAATGCTTCCTAAGGCCACAGGGACCTATTGAAGAGGGAGGAATGGTAATTATTTTTTTGCAATATCTCTCAATCGCGTTGTGATAAATGAATGAAATTTGGTATACACAGCTAAATTTTGATGAGCAATTTGATGGACTAATCCATTTATTTCCACAAGGTCCATTGGGGTGGGTACGGGGGGGCCCTTGGTACTTTGCGTGTGTAACTTTTTCATCTTTGACTTTTTAACAAATTGGACAGCAAATTCCGTTTTCCCGAACTGTTTTACGTTAAAAAGGTACTCTTGTTTCAAATCGTTATCTTTAACGGTTTCTGAGAAAATCGCTCTTGAATTAATCCCACTTTGGTCAATTTCATAGTAATTTAAACAAAATTATCAAGGTATTCTTATGTCAAAGTATTGTCAACCCGATTGCCAATTTAATAGTTCTAAGCGAAAAAAATGGAAGAGTTTACGGGACAAGAGTTAGTTGATATGATATTTATTTATGGCTTTTGCGATGGTAATGCTGCAGCGGCAGAACGCGAGTACGGGAGAAGGTTTCCAAACCGAAGGCTGCCATCAAGGAGGACATTCCCTACGGTATTCCGCAACTTAGCTGCAACCGCCACTTTTCGAAAGGCACCGGGTCAAGGACGTCCCAGGATTAATAGGGAAGCGGAGGTCCTTGACGCTATTGAACAAGATCCTACGACTAGCATACGGAACATTTCAAGGCAAATAAATGTTCCTCGGCCAACGGTACTACATATCTTAAAGATTTCCTTAACAGAATTGATTAGATGTGCTACTAACATTTCAGGTTGGAAGAATATTAAAGCGACAAGGTCTACATGCCTATCACTATCGACGTGTACATGGCTTGATACCAGAAGATTTTGCGCCACGTATGCAATTTTGTCGCTGGATTTTGTCGCTGGACAACGAGCAAGCTTCCAAAATTTTGTGGTGTGACGAAGCTACTTTTACCCGAAATGGAAAATTAAATTTTCATAATTCTCATTATTGGGAAGAAGAGAACCCACATGTTGTTCGGAGAACAAACTTCCAGCAACGGTTTTCCATAAATTTATGGGCGGGAATAATTCACGACACTCTGATTGGACCTATTGAAATTCCACAACGTCTCAATTCAAATCTTTATTTAAACTTACTTCAAGAAAATCTTCCCCAAATTCTCGATGATCTGCCTCTAAATTTACGACGTAACATGTTTTTTCAACACGATGGAGCCCCGGCACATAGTGGTCGCAATGTTCTAAATTTCCTAAACGAAAATTTCGCTGGACGGTGGATAGGGAGGCACGGACCGGTAGCTTGGCCGCCGCGTTCTCCCGACCTAACCCCGCTGGACTTCTTTTTCTGGGGATATCTAAATCAAAAAGTTTACGCCACCGAAGTCGATACCCGTGAGGAATTGCTGCAGCGTATCAATGATGCAGCCAATGAAATTCGTCAAAACCGTTTTAGCATCTTAATAGCTTCGAGAAGTGTTACACGTAGGGCAAGACTTTGTATCAGAGAAGGTGGAGGGTTTTTTGAACAGTTTTTAAAATAGCTTGTTGTCTGTTATCAAAATTAAGTTTCCATCTTATGATCCCTTCGAAAAGTGACGGTTGCAGCTAAATTGCGGAATACAGTGAGGAATGTCCTCCTTGATGTCAGCCTTCTGTTTGGAAACCTTCTGCCGTACTCGCGTTCTGCCGCGCAGCATTACCATCGCAAAAGCCATAAACAAATCATCATATCATAATTGTTCTACATCAATAATGTGTATTACTGATTACGTATTAAATTATTATTATTATTTTTTGTTTAAATTACTATGAAATTGACCAAAGTGGGATTAATTCAAGAGCGATTTTCTCAGAAACCGTTAAAGATAACGATTTGAAACAAGAGTACCTTTTTAACGTAAAACAGTTCGGGAAAACGGAATTTGCTGTCCAATTTGTTAAAAAGTCAAAGATGAAAAAGTTACACACGCAAAGTACCAAGGGCCCCCCCGTACCCACCCCAATGGACCTTGTGGAAATAAATGGATTAGTCCATCAAATTGCTCATCAAAATTTAGCTGTGTATACCAAATTTCATTCATTTATCACAACGCGATTGAGAGATATTGCAAAAAAATGATTTCCATTCCTCCCTCTTCAATGGGTCCCTGTGCCCTTAGGAAGCATTTCCGGACCCATGTTCATATGAACTTTTTTACTTAGTTTTGATCATAGAATCGGCCTGTTCAGGGTTGGCAGCTAATTATGAGACACCCTGTAGACGTACAGTCATTCCGTATTATATTAAGAATATACAGGGTTGGGCAAATGTGTCGGAACACCTTTGTATAGGGTGAGCCATGTTTGATTAAAAATACTTTTAATAAAAGTTTTTGTAGTATTTTTATTCTTTTCATTGATGTACTTTAATTTACAACATCTTTATTTTTTGAGATATGGCGTTGTTGGCAGTTTTTTTTAAATTACCGATTGCAATATAGGGTTTGGTGGGTCTGCGATTTACTGCTTTTTAAGTATTGAATAAAACAATAAAATAAAGAGTTGGCTGTTTACATTTTTTGTCACAGCTACCTGAAAAAGTAATCGTTTTTTTTAAATGAAGATAAATTACTAGTTCTTGTCAATCTACAAGAAAAAACCAAAAACTTCAGTGCCTCAAGTAGCCTTATATCACAATATTAGCGAGAGATCAGTAAGGAGGATATTGTCCAAAAATAAATTTCATCTGTATAAAGTACATTTCGTAACAAGAATTAAATGAGGATGAACCTGATAGAAGGATGCAATTTTGTGAGGAAATGATGAACAACATTACGAATAATGGAAATGTCAATAATATATGTTCCTCCGATGAATCGACATTCTGCTTGAACAGCTTTGTAAATCGACATAACTGTCATTACTGGATGATCAAAATCCACATTGAATAGAAGAAAATCACACTCGATATACTCAGAAATTAAGTGTATGGATAGGCATAATTAGAGGACACATCATTGGCTCATTCTTTCTTGGAGAAAATTTGAACTCTAATCGTTATTTACAATTCTTGCTAGAGCAAATTGTTCTAGCATTGATTCGTTTATTTCCAACCAAGCAAATCCTGAATGATTTTCAAATGACATTTGGAACAAAACAAGATGAAATTCCGCCTAATTATACAGTTGATGTACCTAAATAATGTATTTCCGCAGAGATGGATAGGGCAAAGAGGATATATTGAATGGCCATCGCGATTGCCGGATTTAAGTCCGTCAGACTATTTCCTTTGGGATCATTTAAAATCTGTTGTCTACAAGACCAAACCTCAGTCATTAAAAGAGTTGGAAGATCTAATTAGGATAGCCGTTCAAGAAATATCACAGCATCCCATTCAAAATCTCTTAAGAGCTTTCGTTGATCGATTAGGATATTGTCAGGCTTATGAATCTTTTTTTAAAATTCAAGTGCTCCATATTTTGCAATAAAAAATTTGGATTTAGAAGTTGGAAATTAAAGTACGTCATTGAAAATTATAAAAATGCTACAAAAACTTTTGTTAAAGGTATTTTTTAATCAAACTTATTATTCACCCTGTACATAGGTGTTCTGGCACATTTGCCTAACCCTGTATGATATATATATATATATCGAGTAGAGCATTTATCTTGAGACAAAATAATATCTCGGTTGGACTCGATTATTTCCAAAAAAGTTTCAGATAAAAATTGTGGGGCAGCGAGGGGGACATTGAAAGGTCGTAAGACTTCCGGTCTAGACAGAAAGTGGTGTTTTTAGACCAGAAGCTGATTTTTTTAAATGGAAACACTCATTTTTGATCACGGATTTCGATTGAAAAACGAAAAAAAAAAACTATTCTTATTTTTTTGGTTTAACCTATATTTTGGCCATAAAAAAACAAAAAAAGAACAAGAATCTTGAAACAACGGAGTACCTTGTTGGGATCACTTTTTTAAAAAATGTTTCAAACAAAAATTGTAGGGTGAAAACAGAGTTACCTTGACATGACCTTGAGTTATTTGAAGATCAAATTCAAATTTTAAATGGAACCTTCTTTTTTGACCTCTGAAACTTATTTCGTAATAATTGAATCCAACCGAGATATTATTTTGTCTCAAGAAACAAAATTCTTACCAAATTTCAGCATTTAATTTTAATTTTTAGTACCCACTATTTGATTTAAAATTTTCCTATTCATTTAACACGTAAACCTACTGTTTTTTTTTTAATTATCTATATCTCAGCTACATTTCACGTTATTTTATTATCCATTGGCGATAATTATAGGGAAATCTTTGTTCTTTGAGTGCTCATAGTAGGATCGATGTGACTTGAATGGTTTTACTGCTAAAAAATCTAGACTAGACTTATAGCAAAAACGTAAATGACATGTTTGTAGGAAATTAAATTTTCTATAAAAAAGATTCAGTATCTAAATAAGTATGTAAGCTGTATTAATTCACGAGATAAATTGAGTAAAATGTGTGAAAACTTGAAATATACTATAAAGATAATACAAGAACATTTTTATAAGTTTTCACATATTTGACGCTATTTATCTTGTGAACTAATAACTTTACAAATTAGATACCTACTGAGGACCTTTTTTTATAGCAAATTTAAATTCCTATAAAAATGTCATTTATATCAATAAAAATTCTAAAAAAAACTTTTAAAATTCTTTAGCAGTGAAACCATTCAAGCCACATAGATCCTACTATGGGCACTTTCAAAGAACAAAAATACCACTATAATAGGTGACTATGAAAAAAAAAAAATTGTTGCATGTATTTTAGTTTGAACCAGATTCACTGGATTTAGTAATATCTTGCCTGACTCTACATTGGGTGAATGATCTTCCAAAGGCATTCAAGAAAATTCTAGATAGCTTAAAACAAGACGGAGTTTTGCTTGCAGCCGTTTTTGGTGGTGATACGTTATATGAATTAAGATCATCTCTACAGTTAGCTGAATTAGAACGTCGTGGTGGTCTATCGCCTCATATTTCACCATTCACTGAAGTAAGAGATGTTGGCAATTTGTTATCAAGGGCTGGATTCAGTATGTTAACTATTGATACTGATGAAATTGTTGTAAATTATCCATCGATGTTTGAACTCATGTGGGATTTGAAGGGTAAGTGTTTTATTTAGTTGAAAATGAGTATCAATTTTCTGTTAATTCACATGTCAAAATTATTTAGTAATATTAACACAAATTCAAACTAAAATTCGATTTAAATAATAAATTGATAGTATAAAAGATGTTTTTTGAATGGCGTTACTCCCTATGATGAAAGGGTAAAAGGACACAATCAGCCTGACAGTATATGCATTGCCAGGTTATTTCTCATATAAGGGTGCATTTTATATTTTGGGAATAGAGAACAAAAAAAGAAATTGCTCATCATACAGGGTCGGAAAGTCCCCATGGTTCATCGGCCGTTACGTGAGAGCGATAAAGTCACCGCCCGTTTCGCCCTTCCACATATAAGCACCACTTCCACTTGTAATTCAGCGACTGGTGGTCATCTTTGTTTTCGTCGTTTGGCCTTTCTTTAATAGATGTCACTACTTATACAATTTCGACTTTGGTATTCCGATATGTTAATACCATCCGTTAATAGAGGGCAGCACAATGCGTAACAAAGAAAACTTTTTACAGTAGCTAGTAGATACCTCTGTTTGTAAATCTAGTGACCTTGTTTCCCCTACTAAGAAGTTATTCAAATGGAGTATAATGCTCAGCTGCATTTAAAGTTCATTTAGTTGTTATTTAACTATATTTTTTTTAGAATGACTTAAAAATCCCAAGAAATAAAGCAAAATTCCCTATTTCCCCAATTCCAAAAAAATCTGTAGATCTGGCATCACTCCTTCTAGGGCTGCGCCTCACCTTAGACAAATTGTGCTGCCCTCTGTTAACGGATTGTATTAACATATCGGAATTGTATAAGTAGTGACATCTATTACAGAAAAGGCAAACAACGAAAACAAATATCACCACCGGTCGCTGAATTACAAGTGGAAGTGGATCTTATTTGTGGAAGGGCGAAACGGGCGGTGACTATAAGACGCCTTCATTATAGCCATCCTTCTCTATCGCATGGATTTCTATGACTTACTTTATCGCTCTCATGTAACGGCCGATGAACCATGGGAACTTTCCGAACCTGTATATGGTTTTATGGTTTTTCAAAATATTCTCCATGAAGATCAATCAATTTGCTTGTGATTGAATCAGTTTTCGAAGCACTTTTTCCATTCCGATTGAGGTGCCTCCAAAACATATGCATTAACCGCTTCTTTAGGCATCGAAAAAAAGTCATTAGATACCACATCAGGGGTTTATGGCGAATGACTCATCAATGCATCTTTTTTAATTCTCAAAAAGTTTCTTGTTTGAACCGACATGTGGGAGCTCGCATTGTCCTTGTGGAGATTGATGCGTCTTCGGCAGTTGGTTTTCCTTAGTTATTCGAAGACTTATGGAAAACAAATGGTTGCGTGATATTCAGAATAAATCCATGATTTGTCACGTGTTACAAGGTCATAGATGTATTTTGAAGCACTGTGATCGTATTTCTTGAGTATTTTTTTCGGCCAATCAACGTGAGCCTTTTTTGAGCAATTGTTAAATTAAGTGGGATCCAATGCGAACAAATTTTTTTGGCAGCCAAATGTTCATGCAATATTAAATGTATGCTGTATACTAACACTCAAAGATGTCTCAATCTCACGATAAGTCAACTGACGATCTTACAATATCAATTCAGGCACAGCATCAATGTTTTTTGGAACACTAACCGATTTTGGATGACCTTCACGAAATTCGTCAGTGAGCGACCATGGTCATGATTGAATTCTGTATATTACCGATATACAGCGGCTTTTGATAGTACTGTTGAAAGTGGTATAAAATAATCACATGCAAAGTTTACGACTTCCATTTTTTGGCCGGATTGAATTTTTCAAGCCACTGTACAACACAAATAGCGTCTGTATGTCAAAACTTTCTAAGCAAGTATATTGAAAAAAAGTTGAACTTTACAAGGATGTTAGTTGTCAGATGGCAGCACCACGATCATCCATTCCCGAAATATAAAAGGCAACCCTCGTATAATAGAAAATGATTGAGGGGTCTTTCTGTAACAGTAAAAGATATATCTAAAAGTGTACCTTAAGTCCAGTGGCAGACTTGATTGATCGACAAATAAGTAATAACGCAGTTTTAACATTGTGCTTATGATACACACTTCACACCATATTTCTCTTACTCTTATTAGATAGTTTTATCAAATTACTATCAAATACCCACAAACAGTATTTGCTATTTGTCAACATTTTATTGTTGTTTTGTCATAAACTAATGGAAAAGTAATGACTTTCAAAGGTATGGCTGAGAGTAATGCTGCAATAAATAGATCCATACATTTACATCGTGACACACAGTTTGCTGCAGCCGCAATCTATCAACAACTTTATGGGCGTTCTGATCCAGAAACTGGAAATGTTACAGTACCAGCTACATTTCAGGTAATTTCTCTAATTAATTACAGTAGGTAATAGAAAAGTGCAAATTTAAAAGTACGTAGTTAAAATGAGAATGATGTAATATTGGTTTTCAGCTGTTTTTTCTTACATTTTTTAGATAATCAATATGTTGGGGTGGAAACCCCATCCAAAACAACCAAAACCAATTGAAAGAGGTAGTGGGGAAGTTTCCTTGAAGGATTTATATAAACTCGATGAGATTATAAAGGAAGTAAAAACAGTCAAAACGGATGATGACAAAAATTAATATTTTCTAAAAAAAGAAAATGTTAAAAATTAGCATAATTTGTGTCCACATATTTTAATAAAATACAATCGATTGCCATTTACTTGTTTTTTTCAATAAATTGTGTAAAGTACCAATTTTGATATTGTAATGCAAATTACACATAAGGCTTAAGGACCCCCCACGATCCTTATGGAAAGTGGCAAATTTTTTTGAAACTGCGATGTGATGTTCTGATTGCATGGATCAAAAGTCTCAGTGGGTACAAAGTATAAAAGTCCTTTGTTTTGGATCTACGACCCCCAAAAGTTGAATTTTTTCCCCTTAACGCTGCATAGTAAGAACACATCAATGTTTCTTTTTTGTAAAATTACATTACATTAATAGTAAATGGACCTTGCCCGATCAATTAGAGACGTTTTCAACTTCCGGTTCACGGGCATCAGTACGAGGTCAACTTCAATCATCATTTAAGGCTCAAAAAACGCATTTTAGAAAAAGATGTTTTAGACAAAAGTTTCACATTTTTCGCTGTTGAATAAAAATCCGCAATAAAAAACATACTATTTTGAAAAAATTGATCGCAAGTTGAAATATCTAATCTATCGGGCAAGGTCTATTTACTATTAATGTAATGTAATTTTATTGCTGTATTCTTACTATACAGCATAAGATTCGGACTCCACCAAAGCGGTGATGTGCAAAGAGAAGAGGAGAGCAGATGCTTAACAGCTAGGGTGTATCTACCGAAGCTGTGCGGATATGCGTACTGGCTAGAGCAGCTGAGTTGCATGTGGCGATCGTTGGTTATTGAGATGAACGAACTTATGTACAGTTTAGCGCGATCTGGCATGAAAGGCAGACGTCAGTCATGTCACTATTACAAAAACTGTACCTCGTTTTACTTGAAGAAAAAGCTGCCGCTAGCCGCAGCCTGCCGTTCATATCTTTCGTCTCCGATGCGCACCTTTGCCAGCTTGTGAAGCACAGCTCATATCTCTCTATTGTTTGCGCTAAACAAATATGAGACGTCTCTTCTCCTCTCCGCTCAACCGTATCCACTGAAGCTAAGCAGAGACGAGACATGTAAATAACGAAATCCTATTAGTTGTTTATAACACATCTCTTCTCTCGTTTCGTCCCCACTTTCCGCATTGGTGGAGTCTGGGCCTAAGTGGAAAAAAATTAAACTTTCAGGGGCCCTAGGTTCAAAACAAAGGACTTTCTGCCCATTCACTTTTGATTAAAAAAAAAATTGCTGAAAGCCACTTTCCATAAGTATTGTGCGGAGTCCTTTGATATTAGCATAGTATTTACATTTTCAAAAAAAATCTAGTCTACTTAGTCATCTAGTCACAGGATCCAGAATGACTATGTTGAGGTTATGTCCGTGAAATACTGAGGCAAAGAGTATAATTGTATATTCTCGTTGACTGAGGTAAGGTAAGTTAGTTATTAATTATTACTATTATTATACTTATTTCCTTTTGCACTTGGCTTCATTTTATGAGTAAAAATATTTTTTACAAAATTATAAGACGAACAATTCTAAAATCTAATCTGATGCTAATACCCATTTCCTATATATATATATATATATATATTATCTATGCTAATACCTTAGCTCATCTATACACTGCCTTCTCACTAATAGTTGTGTTCGCGGAGCCTGTCAAATTAGTCCGGGATCAGTCAGAAGTTCTGACTGATCCCGGACGGATTGTCGCTCTCACGTAACGGCAGATGGACCATCGGTACTTTTCGAACCTGTAGATGTATTCTGTGGTACATAGTATAGAGAAGAATAAGTACGTAGCCTTAAAATGAATTTAATTATAATAATAATTAGCATTACTATTTTCAAAATAGGTAGACAATTATTAAAACGCATTACAGATAATGTATTTAAAGTAATAGTATAAATCAAAATTCAATATGAGGAAATCTTGAATATTTTGTCGTGGAATATGATCGGTTGGATTAATAACATCGACGTGGGCCCTCGGTGGAGACATCGGGAGTTCTAATCGAGACCCACGTTGGGCGCCATGTCGTGGAATATAATCGGAAGTGCCTAATATTTGAGAATTATTGGGAGATTCGGCAACGTGGGCTCGCCGCGAAGACGTCGAAGCAGAACTTCGAGCCCCACGTCGAGCGCTATGTCGCGGAATATGACCATTACGTTGATCGACATGGATCCGCGGTGGTGACATCGGGAGTTCTAATCGAGCCCCACGCTGGACGCCATGTCGTGCCTGATGATCTGGGACATTGGTTCCCTTGACCTGTGTCTGCGATAGAGACGCACGGAGTTCAAATGGATCGTCACTAGGGACGCCAGGTCGCAATAGATTCTCCAGTGATTGTGGTCTGTGGTGGATATGACCTACAGACGTGGTGTCTAGGACATGAGCTCGTGGGAAGATCTCGACGAAGAATGTCGAGCCCCACGTTGAGCGCCGTGTCGGGTTAGACTTCCTAAATAGGGACCACTTAGGCGGTGATCGAATGTTCGGGGGAAATCATGAGAGTGGACGGGCGATGTACCAGAATTGCTTTGATAGAAAGAGCCGGCTACGTCACCTACGACATAGTCGGGGTTTTCGCTTGCCATGGCACCCGAACGAGATACGCATTGCTCCCACTGGGTACCATTTCGTGGAAAAGCTGTCTGCACTGTATCGCCGTCGCCAACGGTTCAGCGTTCCGAAACACCCGATATCGGAAGACGGCCGCTATCGGGGTCGGACCGCGAACCGTGGTTGGGCTCATGGGATTCCCCGGACCCTACCAGTTGGTACGTAGGTTGAACCTTGTCCCGAGTATCTGTGGGTGACCCACTTCGTTGTAACTCATGAGTGCTACTCGGCTCCGTGAGTGCGTCGTGAGGGGTGGTCGAGGCGGTATCAGTAACCCGCGTAGCAGCGGACCTCAACGCGTACGGCGCTATGGCTGCGCCGTGCCGCGTACTTCCGTCGGTCCCTCAGACTCTTCACGCAACATCGAGATAGCGTTGGGGAAGGAGGCCATTTCTTCTTTCACCCGGAGTGTCGGGAGATTTTTCACCGGCAAACAGGCGTGAGGGCAGTCCGTGTAACCGCTGGTCTCTCCGGGTGTGGACGAGGTTTCATCCAGCTCCGTCTTGATCATATTGTCACGATCTGATTTATTTGTCGTACCTTCGAGAGCACCAATCCTCGTAGCACTGGATATCGAAGTCGCGTCGCAGGGATACATCTTACCCCGTACGACAATGTCGGAGCAAGATCTTTTGCTCCGAATGTCTTGTAGTAGTCTTGTAGAACACTGACTCTACTTTAAATGTGGGTCTCTCGAGGGAGCTCTAGAAGCAAGGACAACTTCTGCTAAATTTGTACGCCGCCACAATAACGTGCGTACTATAACTTTGTGCCCGTTGAACACAAAAAAAATGCCTCGTAGCGTTTGACGAGGAAGGTTGCCTCGACGAGTAACCGCCTAGAGGTTTGACGAGGAAGGTTGCCTCGGATTTGCAGATCTCAATACAGTCTGAATGATAGGACTCGTAGGAGCCTATGTGTGTACCCTGTACCGAGGTGCGGGTCGCAATCGTTTAGCTACTTCTTTTATGCTATGCACCAGCGTTGCCAGATTTTTTTTCGGGTAAAGCGGGATTTTGAAACTTTTTGAATAAAAAAGCGTGATTCTTTCGTCCAAAATCGGTACGTACTACGGGTTTGTATAATTGATGCCTAAAAAAAAAGATCTCGCTCTTGTTTTCAAAAATATCGATGTCTAAAAAAAAATGGTCATCAAAAATATCGATGTCTAGAAAAAAAAAAGGACGTTCATTACTGGACCTGGAAAAAATCATTCGAGAGGAGAGCGGGAAAAGCGGGACTGAGCATGTCCCGCGCGAGACAATTAATTTTGGGCCAAAAAGCGGGACGTCCCGCCAAAATCGGGACGTCTGGCAACGCTGCTATGCACAGAAAGTAGTTGGACGACGGCTTCTGACTGATCCCGGACTAATTTGACAGGCATATGAAAATTTTAGCAAAAGGTGACAAAGGTGTACATTTTACTACGGAAAAATAATTACCCAGCAAACACAAGAATTGCAGCATATAAATGGGCGAATGGGC